TATGGAAGCCCGTTTCCGCCACTGAATAAAAAATTTTTAAAAAAGGTTATTGCGACTTTTTATCTCACAATTCCGACTTTTTTTCACAGAATTGTGTGATATAAACTCACAATTGCGAGTTATAAAGTCACAATTGCGAGACAAAAACCCGCAATTCGGACTTTTTGTCTCGCAATTGCGAGTTTATATCATGCAATTCTGAAAAAAAAAGTCAGAACTGCGAGTTTGTATCACGCAATGTTTATATAAGGCAATTCTGAAAAAAAAAGTCAGAATTGCGAGTTTGTATCACGCAATTATGAGAAAAAAAGTCCGAATTGTGAGATAAAAAGTCGCAATTACCTTTTTTATTTTTTATTCAGTGGCGGAAACGGGCTTCCATACGTTACTCCCTAAAAGTTACTTAGTTACTTTTTATGGAAAGTAATGTGTTACGTTACTTTTGCATTATTTTTTTAAATCTGGTCTTGGCTTACTTGTTTGTTTTTAATATAAAAAGTTATATTTTTGGCAAATGTTAAATGCCCTTTCACACCATAGTGAAACGAATAAGCCTCAGGCTGAAGGAAATGTAAATTCACGTCTGTACAGTAGCAAATGTTACAGAAACAAAGGTTATGTTTATCTAAAGTCATTTTTGCCTATTAGTACGGTTGTACTGGATCATTGAAGGTCAGCAGCAAAGACATTGGTTAATAAAATGGGATTCATACAGTACATAAAGGATATTTGTGTTATTTAACCTATTTAATTATTGCAGGTTCGCATCATATCCTGAGTTTGCATTGCACTGTTTTTATTCATTTTAAGGAATACTGAATGTGTTTTTGTGAGAGTGAGATGAGTAAATGCATGCTTGCATATAGTCTAGACATACAGTAACCATCACAACGCCTCTGCACTTACTCCTGATTTCTCTCAACATGTGGACAGGAGAGCTGTCAGTCAAAAACAAAGTAACTGCAGTTTTTATTGTAAATTAATGCATTACTTTACTAGTTACTTGAAAAAAGTAATCCGATTACATACTGTAACCTGCATTGCTTGTAATGCTTTACCCCCAACACTGGTGCTCAGTGATATGACGTCGATATTCTTGACAAAAACAAGTAAAATATCCATCAGTGCGATAATGTTAATAATGTTAACACAGCTCACTCCCAGCATGCTCCGTTATCAGCGGAGTGACAGTCATGAATCATAACTGCACATGCATGATACCTCACTCCCCTGACCTGAGCTGTCACAATCTTATCTGTCTTACAGAGATGTGAGATGACAGGACACACGTGATCAGAGAGAACGCTGAGCACCTGAAGAGCTGGCATTTAGCAAAGCACAATCTCTGCTTCCACACATAGAAATTAGGCTGAAGAAAAACAGCTTGAAGGCTTCATTTTTTCCCCTTCATAAGGAACAAGAGCTCACGGTGACTTTTAATTGGTCAAGACTGTTTGGAAGAATTACCAAGTTTCTCAGAAGATGTTTTATTTTAATAAATACTTACTAAATTTATATGAAAAGCACAATGCCTTGTAAGTTATGACGATTAATGTTAATACCTATTTTTCACTTTAAAAAAAAAAAATGAAGATTGTAAAAATATCAGTGTTACCAGGTTCAGTGTATTGTGTAATATTAATTTAACCTTGTAAAGAATTTTTAATAATAAAAGTTTTTGCATTAAACATGTATTGCTTGTTTTTCTAGTAAAAGTATTTTTCTTGCTAATAATATTTTTAATACCTACATCATTTCCCCCCCTTTATTTGATTTTACAGTAAACTCCAACATTAAATTCCTTGCAAATGCAGTATCTAGTTGTAGTTAGTTCACTAGATTTAGTTTACGGTCCTGGTAAAACCATATCTGTACAGAAAAGGAAATGCACCTAGACATTCTGCAGCTGATGGAAGGAAGTTGTCAGTTGCACTGCAATCGAAAGCAGCAGTTTTTTTCTTGTTTGTGGTATTGTCACAAGCCACACCTTCAAGAAGTTGTTTTACTGTGTATGCAGTACTGCAGTAGTCGAAAATTATAGTCTCACTTAAAGGGGTCATAGGATGCTACATGCACTTTTACAAGTTGTTTGAACTGAAATGTGTGTTGGCAGTGTGTGTACACAACCACCCTATAATGATAAAAATCCACACAGTGGTTTTTTGTTAATCTACTAAAATCTTTACCCCTTTCTCAAATCAAGCCGATCTCAGATGCCTGTCTGTGTGACGTCACACAGACAGGCCCCTCCCACGATAGTTTGACTGACAGTAGTGTTTCAGCACAGACTGGACTGGTGTCTTACCTTAGACCCGCCCTGAGTGAGCTGTCATCAGTCCGCCATTGTTTCACCGCCGGAGCAGATGTAGACAAGAATGACTCCTAAGCGATTGAGGTGTTCTGTTGTTGGATGTAATAATGAACATAGCAGTCGTCATTTACTCCCGACATCTGAGCCGCTGAACTCGCAGTGCATTACATTTGTTTCTTAAGGGAATGCGCCCCCGATCTACATAAATGCATCTGTCTATGTTCTCGCGAATCATTCGTGA